CTCGGTGAACAGTGGCAGGAAAGCAGACGAGGATTGGCGGTGAATCATAGAATGGCTGGGTCACTGAGAGAAGATACTTGGAGAAGTACCTTAGTCCAGGTTGGTCATGATAAGTGAAGGCCGTGGGATAGGGAAAACCTTAAAGCATCACGAGTCTAGAGCTCTTTGAGGAACTTATGCTGGGTGTTGGCTGTCAACTGCTCGGGTTTGAAGAAATATTTCTCGAGAACAGATAGGAACACATTCTGTAAAACCCATAGAGGGCACAAACCAGGATGCCAAACAGAGGAGAGCAGCTTGGGTGCTAGCAGAGGTGCTTGTCCAGGGCACATGGGGCAGCATGAGAAAAGAACATGCTGGTGCTGGAAGTTAAAATGCTAGGGAAGTGCATATCCAGGACTTCCAGAGAAACAGGGAGGGACTAAGTATCCGTTGAGATTTGTGATCTCAGACCAAGGCTGATGGCACCATTTAGGTGCTCAGAAGTATGTGCAAGCAAGTCTGGGGAACTGGTGTCAGAAAGACTAGGGGGTCGCTCAGAGTGGCAGGAAAGTTAGCTGTGAGTGGCTGAATTGAATCCTGCAGCAGGTATGAGAGCATGGTGACCCAGGAGGATTGATTGGCATGAGCTCTACAACAGAGTTCTGGTAAGAACAGACCTGGGTGCCATCAGAGGTGCAAGAGGGAGAGGTTACTGTGAGGACTGCGTTAGAATGGGAAGTGGGAAAGGAGAAGACAGCCAGTGTCTCAGTGGGAAGGAGGACCAGCATTGACTGGAGACTGGAGATGTGAGCAGAGAAGACTCCATAGTGTTCACCAGGAAGAACGCTGTGACAGGTATTTGTGGACAAAGGACAATTTCAGTCCTGATGGACAAGGTACTGCCAGACCCACGGACTAGCCTTAACTCTCTGTCATATGGGATGCTGTGGCTGGGTTGCATGGATTACTCAACTGAATTGTGAGAGTAACGTGTATCTTTCTCAGGGCTTAACATCCCTTTATTACAGCAGTTGTATATACAGAGGCCGCTCAGGCTTTTTATGAAAATTTCAAATGAATTTCAAAGTAAAAAAAGAAACAAATGGGCCCTCTAAGAACTCATAACTACAGGACTTGAACCTGAGTACCACCTGATGGGTGTTGTTATTTCTGGTCGTGCCCAGAGTTAGTCTGTCGTGAGTGCTGGTTACCAGTTGCTGTTGGTCTCAGCAGCCTGAGCATATATGTGTACAGTCACCTTTTTTTCAAACAGAACAAAGCACAGACAGAGCACTGTAGCATTGAGCTTCCAGAGCTGGCTCCTTCTCAAGGCCATTTGCATTATGCTAATTTGTAAAATAGATGCAAATGTGTTGAGATCTGTATGCCGGGTCTGATGCTGAGGGAAGGCTGTGAGTTCCTGGCTGAAGTTGGAAGGATGTACATGTGGCTGTAGCTGTCCAGGGACTTAACTGGGCTCCCCTGCCCAGATGTCCTCACAGCACTTACAGCTTACCATCCTCTGCTTCCACCTCAGAGAACTGGCATCCAGTGTTGGTGCCAACATCCTCCTGGGCCCTCCCCCACAGTGTGCTGCCTCCCCAGCTGCTGCTCTGTGGAGACTGCACACCTTCGCTCTGCATTACTGAGTGGAAATTATGGATCTATGTGGAGAAATCCTGGAGAAATTCAAGAGCTCACTTTTTTGTTTGTTTGTTTTTTCGAGACAGGGTTTCTCTGTGTAGACCTGGCTGTCCTGGAACTCACTCTGTAGAGCAGGCTAGCCTCAAACACTCGAACTCAGAAATCGGCCTGCCTCTGCCTCCCAAGTGCTGGGATTAAAGGCGTGCGCCATCGCCGCCCGGCTATCGCTTTTTTTCAACAAACTTAAACTTTCTGGTTGCCATGCATGTACCGGGGAATGTTATATATAAAGGAAACTGTGTTTCCAGTGCCATTACTAGCCCTCTCTCCCCAGCCTGGCCTCTGAACTTTTTTTCCAAACAGAGAGGCTATCACTCCATTTCTGCCTCAGCCTAGGTCTCAGTTGGAGTGTCTGTGCTTGCTCTATTTCCTCCCCCTGGAGCTAGGAGCCAAAGCTGGTGCACTGTTGTGTGGGTGCAATAGCAGTACAGCTTCTTGTGGCTTTGTGGGCTGACGGACTCAGCAAAGTCTGCCTTCAGCTGCTCTCCTGTCCCATCTGTCCTGCTTATGTCCTACCACCAGAATCCCCTTTACAGTGCCAAAGCCTAGAGCCTCTCTTCTTGGGATCCTTTTCAGGCATTTAAGACTCACAGCACCAGTCCTCAATTTCACCTGCATGTGAGACCAGTTGGAACAGACAGTCACACCAGGCAGATGCTGGTTGGTAGAGAAGATGAGACATAAAGCCAAATCTTGAGCTTTCTGGAAGCCTTGAGTCCTACAGGGTTCTGGAGCTCACTGCTGATCACTTAATGACATGACTAACACACACCTTGCTTTGGGGAGCTCTGACCTATGGAGTTTTGCCTAGTATTTAGGCTTTGGCTAGTTACCCGGCTCGTTTTCTGAAGTTTGATTTGCTTTTTTAATCTTTTTGTTTTGTTTTCCTAAAAATTGTGTTGAGGTTGGCTCAGAAGTAAGGCTGGTACTGGCTTCCTTTGTCGTCTTCTGTGGCTGCTACGGCTCTGCCTTTCTCAGCTCTTCTGAGACACTTGCACTCATGGTCCTGCGTGCAGACTCAACTGGAGACTTGAGTCATTTGGGGTTTCGTTAGTATCATAGCACCACAGGGGATGGGGGCGGGTAGGCCTTATTTGCTATTGCAGGAGAACCTGGAAGAAGGAGGTATGGTTTCTTGACACTTTAGCAAGATACACAGTGTTCTTATCCTTTCTGTACCCTGGATTCAGTGGCTTGAAAGGCTTGCTGTTTGCACTTTTTACTTCACCTGTTTTTCTTTTTCTTTGTTTCATTTCTGAAGTGCCATATCACCATGTCACACCCATGGGCTTCAGATGACCTAAGACTAGACATTACTTTATATAACCGAGTGGCATTTCCCTGTAGGTACAGTACCCATGTGTCACTTAATACCCTCTTTTAGCTGTTGGTTTATTTGTGTCCAGTTCTAAAGGAAGACCTGCTAGTGTATGATAGCCTCACTGTCTTTGATCCAGAGCCCCATCCCCTGTGGCCTTGGCTTCTTGCCACAAACAGGGCAACTGCCTACACAGCCTGGCTAAAGTTTCTCTGCCCGTTCCCTGGCAGCTTACCCCAGAGGTTCTGTTTAGCTTGGGGCAGTGACCCACTACCTTACTGTGAGGATCTCACAGTCCTAACACTTTGATTGAAAGCAAGCCAATTGATTTTTTTTTTTTTTTTGCATCTCTCTGTTGAAGTTTTGGTCACATGTACCTTGTCTATGTATGGAGCAATTGGTAGTGTCATTTGGGGGGCTAGAGAAATGGCTCTGTGGTTAAGCTATTTTGCTGCTCTTCCTGGGGACCAGAGTTCAGTTCCCAGCACCCACATTGGACAGTTCCCAACCACCTGGACTCTTAACTTGTAACTCTAGCTCCAGAGGATCTGACACCTTTTTCTAACCTCTACAGGCACCAACACACACACACACACACACACACACACACACTCTCTCACACACTGTCTTAGTTAGGGTTTCCCTTGCTTTGAAGAGACATTATGACCAAGGCAACTCCTATAAAGGACATTTAATTGGGGCTAGCTTACAGGTTCAGAAGTCCATTATTTAATCATAGAAGGAAGGATGTCAATGTCCAGGTAGGCAGACATGGCATTGGAGGACCTTAGAGTTCTACCTCTTGTTCCAAAAGCCAACAAGAGAAGACTGACTTCCACCTGGTTAGGAGGAGGGTCTCATTGCCCACCCCCACAGTGATACACTTCCTCCAACAGGGCCACACTTCCTAATAGTGCCACTCCCTGGGCTAAGCATATTCAAACCACAATAACCATACATACATGCATATAAAAAACAAAATAACATTTTTAAATAATCTTTTTAAAGCCCTTTTTGAGGGCTATGGAAGTGGCTCAGTAGGTAAACACAGATGCTATGCAAACATGGGGACTCACGTTTAAATGAATCTACAGAGCATTGCAAAGCTGGGCATGGGCGTGTGCGTGCGTGTGTGCATGTGTGCGTCTGTGATCCCAGAACTCGGACAGCACACAGTGACAAAAGATTGTCTCAAACAAGGTAGGAAGTAAGGGCCAACTCTTGAGCTTGTCCTCTAGCTTTCATGTGTCCCCTGTGGCTATGAAAAGCCTAGAAATAAGGCAATGGCAAATGTTTTCCCATCTGCTCTCTAGAATGAGGCAGCCATGAGCAGGGCTCCTAAAGGATCATAGGCATCCGTACAAAGCACTAACCGCCAGAGCATGGGAGTAAACAACATGCCAAATTCATTCTTAACCATAGTCACATTGCAATGCAGGAAATAGATCAAAACCCAAGAAGTAAAGAAAATAATTACAAGTTGTATGTGCTTTGAAGAAACCAAACAAGATTAAAGATGTTTCCTGCTAGGGGCCTTCTTTACTCAGGGGAGAGGGATCTGACATAACCACATGAAAGTGGATCCAGTCCTGGGAGCAGTGAAAAGGCTGGAAGGCAGGCAGCAGTCGGGTTGTATAAGAACTGAAGAGAAAAGGCCAAGTGCAGAAAAGAGAAAGGATGGCCATGCAGGGCCTCAGTACTCAGGGTAAGGATCGGATGCTGTTAGCATGCCAGGAAGACGTGTAGGACATGTAGACATGTTCAGCTAGGGGAATGTCTGACACTGACATGTCGTATCTTCTTTCTCACATGTGGGCTCAAAATGGAGATGGTTTATCTTCTGCAGGTCAGTTCACTCTTCAGACTCAGTTATGGGTCTCAGGGATTCTCTCCTCCAGTTCTGTCCTCACAGTGTTTACATAATTGATGAGTGGCTGCAGTCGATCATGTACTTGGCCTAGAACAGGACCATGATGTCTTCCAATTCTTTCCTTAGACCTGCAAATGCAAGCTACTTCCTCTGGAAGATAAGACAGCTACCTCCTCAGGACCAAGAAAGAAAAGGTAGGTAGGAGTGAGGCTGTGTGTGCTTGTGTCTGTCTGTGCGTCTCGTCCTGTTCCTCCTCTGTCCTGTCCCCCGTCCCCTGTGCCCTATCCCTGTCTCATTTAAGTAACATTAATCCTGACTGAATGTTTCTGGACTGAAAGGACCTTGCATGTTATTTATTGTTTGTATTACAGAAAACCAGCGTGCTACTGTATAGAGTCCCCAGGAGCAAGACTGACTGTCCCTGAAGCCAAGGAGCCTTCATGCTGGCAAAGGGAGTGATGTTCTGACTCTCCTGAGGGTACTCTGGCGGCTCATCACCAACTGGCACCTTGTGCCCTGGGCAGACAGATCATACTGCACAGGCTTTTATGAGTGAGAAGTAGAAGAGTACTGTACATCAGAGAAAGACTCCAGGGGCTCAGAACAAAGGCTCACTCTTTCCTGCCCTGGAATGTTGACCACTCAGGATCTAAAGGAACGAAAGCTCTGTGCTGATGAGCTATGGGATTCATATGAGAGTCAGTGTGACTTTGTAATCAGTAAGTGAGGAGCACTATGCAGGAAGAAGCCTTCCACAGAAAGACAGGCAGGGAGAAGCTGAGGCTAACAGTTAGCTTGCCCGATAGAGCAAGCCTGAGATAGACTGCCAAGATGGCAAAATAAGAGGCTTTATGAAGCAGCAGTCCTGGAACTCATAGTTGTAAGAATACTTTCTTCTTTAAGCCAAGATACCAAATAGGAAAGATGATCTACAAGTGCCCCATGTGCAGGGAATTTTTCTCTGAGAGAGCAGATCTTTTTATGCATCAGAAAATCCATACAGCAGAGAAACCCCATAAATGTGACAAATGTGATAAGGGTTTCTTTCATATATCAGAGCTTCATATTCATTGGCGAGACCACACAGGAGAGAAGGTTTTTAAATGTGATGATTGCGGTAAGGATTTTAGCACAACAACAAAACTTAATAGACATAAGAAAATCCACACCGTGGAAAAGCCCTATAAATGCTATGAGTGTGGCAAAGCCTTCAACTGGAGCTCCCATCTTCAAATCCACATGAGAGTCCACACTGGTGAGAAGCCGTACGTCTGCAGTGAGTGTGGGAGGGGCTTCAGTAATAGTTCTAACCTTTGTATGCACCAGAGAGTCCACACTGGGGAGAAGCCCTTCAAATGTGAAGAGTGTGGGAAAGCCTTCAGGCATACCTCCAGCCTCTGCATGCATCAAAGAGTCCACACTGGAGAAAAGCCCTATAAATGTTACGAGTGTGGGAAGGCCTTTAGTCAGAGCTCCAGTCTTTGCATCCACCAGAGAGTACACACAGGGGAGAAACCCTATAGGTGTTGTGGGTGTGGGAAGGCCTTCAGTCAGAGTTCCAGCCTCTGCATCCACCAGAGAGTGCACACAGGGGAAAAACCTTTTAAGTGTGATGAGTGTGGCAAGGCCTTCAGCCAGAGTACAAGCCTTTGCATCCACCAGAGAGTGCACACCAAGGAGAGAAACCATCTCAAAATATCAGTTATATAAAAATGTTTTCCTAAGAATTAAAAATCTTAAACCCGTAAGTGCCACTAGGAAGGAAACCTTGAATCCACCTACACTGAACCCAGGAACATCTACAGCAGTCCCCAGAAAAACATTCTTTCTGAGGAGGTTTAGGTGAAGTTGTGTTTCTGAACTCGGAATTCTTCTGTGTGTGTGCCCAAGATGGAGCATTGTGTCCCTGTCACAGGTATGGTGTTTCCTGAGACTCTGGCAACATGCCACAGAGTTGAAACAATACTCAAAACTCAGGAGCCTTGCTCAGCCGCTCAGTCACCTGTCTGTGCTGTGCTTCCGGGCAGTGCCAGACACTCCCTTTTGGAGCTCATGCTCCTTCCTCTGTTCAAGCCTACCTACCGGTCAGTGCATTTAAAAATGGACAGCTCCCGTGAAGGCCGAGTCCTGGTATTTCTGAGGTTGCCATTTGACTCAACCCTGACATAGCTTTCCATATATCCTGTTATTTCTGAATCCACCTTACCTCATGTCCTCAGAGTACCTATAAACACTTACCCCTTCCTAGGTGGCATTAAACTTCATTTTAGATGTTAGGAAAGTCATAATATGCACTCACTCAGCCAATCAGGAATCACTGGCAGGTGTACATGCCCTGGAACTTTTCTTTAGTTTTGTGAACTCCGCTAATCACTGTGTCTCTGGGTTAGATTTACTTTCTAGTGGCTTTGTCACATGCTCCAACTTGAAATTTTTTTTTTCTTTTAAGTAGCTGAATGTATATATCAGGGAGGAAGAAGCAAGCAAACTGCGCTTGTCTACTTCGAGTGACCCTCTCAGGCTCCTTTTGAGCTAGGAAAGCCTTGAGAGGGCTGACTGGGGAGTCACTGAGGATGAATCTGTCATCTCAGGCAATAATGTGTAGGTGTCATCATGAATCGCATACAGTTCTTTTCAGGCATGAGTGTGTATTACTGATCCATTCCAACATCCTCATTCATTCTCTGAGTATTTATTGAATGCCTCCTGGGTGTCAGACATGTACTGGGTGCTGGGAATGCCACTGGCTCATGAAATTCACCTCTGGAGGAGACAGGATAAGTGAGTTAACACATAAATAACGTAGTTTGCGGTAGTGATTAAGTGCTATGAGAAACTAGGGTGGTATGTAGAGGGGGGTGGGGGGCCAGGTAGCAAGGGCCAGGAACTCTGCGCTGAAGGTGCTGGGGTCATGTGAAGGGAGCCGTGACAGTACACAGCACAGGTGCCGCTGGCCCTGGGGACAAGATGCAGGTGCTGGAGGTGGTGTGCGGGGAGGGGAGGTGCTGAGCCATGAGCTTAGTGGCTAGTGTTTATAGGCCTGTTGTGTTTGTTTTGTTTCTACTGACTGATAGTAAAACTCATGGAAGAACTCAAGGGATGTTGAAAAGACCAAAAGTCCCCAGTGACACCAACACAAAGCTCCCAGTTCCGTTTCCTTCTCATTCCCGTTCTCCATCTCGCACATGCAGTCCTTTGCTCAGGAAGTCTTTGGGGAAACTAATGACCTGTTAATTTGAAGTGGGTGACTGGCTTGGTGGCTTCTGCCAGCCATTCTAAAGCTGGATAAAGAACTTCCCAGATGATTAGAAATATGAGACTTTCTTAGTTTGGTTTTTGTTTTTTTAATTTTTTTGTTTGTTTTTTGTTTTGTTGGGTTTTTTTTGTTGGTTTTTTTTTTTCTTGTTTTTTTTTTTTGGTGTTTGGCTGGAAGAAGTTTTTGTAAAACTGAAGCCTGGGTGCATAGAGAGGGCTTTGTAGGAGCACATGGTCAGTGGGCAGGGTTTAAGAATGAATCTGTCACCATGTGTTATAATGTAGACACTTTCAGGCAAGCCTTTGGCCCACTGGTCACTGCCTTCCCCTCTCCACAGAGGGCTATTGGCTAACACACCCCCTTCCTGGCCTCACAGCCACCACAGCAATTTCCTGTAGTGTCTTACACTTCCATGTCACCACAGCGTGGAGCATTAGAGAAAAGCCTGGAAAGACTTAGTTGATAGAGAGCCAGTTGAAATATCATCAATAGAATTTTAGTTTAGGGAAAATGGTTTGAGTTCTAGCTTTATAACTATTAGGTATGTAAGCTTGGGCAAATCGCTGAATCTTCAGGTCTAGTTTTCTCACAGAATGAGGACACTGGACTAAATGATTTCCCAATTTCCAGCTAGTCCTAGAGTTCTATATTTCTACATAGTTGAATTATTTTATCATGCTGTTGCTAGGGAATACAACTAACACTTTTGAAGCTACTAATTTTATGTCAAGCTTTAAAGTCCATACTTGTTATCTTCAGAAATATTATTTGACCTACAGTATGTTTAAATCAATTTAATAAAATCACTTTATAACAGGGCCCTATGTTTCCTGTGTGGTATATGAGTTCGGTAGTCCTGGGGTTTGGGATTGGCTGTCATTCGTGCTGTAGAATAATAGATCTTCATGACAAAATTTAATCTTACAATGTTGGTAACAATCATATTCTGTGCATGACCCATTTTAGTCATTGCTGTTGTCTGCCTGAACCCTTGGGCATGTCTTCTATGAGCTCATTCTTATCTCATGTCTTCTATGAGCTCATTCTTATCTCTTCTGACTGACGCACCCCTGGCAAAATGTGAGGCACTGGTTAAGGAAGGCCACATGCATGACATTGTGAAGTAGCCTAGCAGCCACCAGCTCTGGGAAGACAAGTCTACATTCAGGTGACTGAGATGGAAGTGACAGCTGCCCAGATACTTTCCCTATTGGTAGAACACTATTGGTGATCAATGATGATAGGGACTTCTGGGTACCAGCTACATGTTAACAGGAAGCACCTAGGCTGCTCAGTTGGTATGTCCTGAAGGTGCGTGTTGGAGCAGGGGTGAGGTGCTCTCTGGCCTGAGCCAGCACACGTCCCCGTCTTCACAGGCAGTTCTCTAGGGTTTAGAACCACACACACAGCTGTCTCTGTGCTAACGCTGATACCTTCAGAGACTTGGAAAGGTGAATAACGGGCAAGGATCGGAAGCAGATACAAAAGTACTTGGTGAAGTCAACCTGGGGAGCTGTAAACAGCTGACCCCACAGTGCAAAAGCTAAGCAGGAACAGGTGAGGCAGAGGGACAGGACAGCCTCAGGTGACGCAGCATGGGCTAACCTTTCACTGCCTTCACTGTCCTACCTGTAGGACAGCTGAAAACTAGCAAGCCAGAATGATATTCAGTTGTAGAATGATCACCAGAGGTACACAGGCTTTGGTTCTTAGCACTACAGAAAATTCCCCAAATACTTAATGTGTCGTCTGTATGTGGATACACCAGCAAGGATCTGGCTGAAGTTTCCATCTGGGCTTAGGTGGAAGAAACTTACTTTCAGAATAAGGTAACCACATTTGCAGTCCTCATATGGGTGGATTTTTGTATTTCATTCTGTTTGGGAGCTAGGGGCACACAGGTTTTCCCTGTATAACAGCCCTGGTTATCCTGGGACTCCTTTTGCAAACCAAGCTGGCTTCTATCCACCCACCTCTGCCTAGGATTAAAAGCGTAGGCCACCATGCCTAGGTTTGTGTTCCATCTTCATGTGTGCTTTGATATTTGTATTTTTTGAGTGTTATTTCTGTAAATAGTCCCACTTGCCCTTACCAAGTTCTGTTGCTGAAGGTCTACCCTGAATCATTAGGCAGTTCTGAGAGACTGAGTCTGGGGCCTGTTAGGTTTCTGGCCTCTGCAGGGTTTGTCTGATTTCTAAGGAAAGGTTCTGATGCATTTGGAAGTAACAAACACTGGCTATAGAATCTTCTGATTGGGTCACAAGGTCAGTCCTGACAAAGACCTCTAAGGGACACCTGATGGTTCCACACAAGTCATGGGGTCCCTGGAACAAATAGGAAATGAGGACAGTTGCTGCAGTTCTGACCTTGAATGTTCTCACAGGGTCAACCAAACACGGAGATATGGGACTGAGCCAGAGTAACTAACCCCTTTTCCTGTGTGTTGATGGCTTTAGTTTTAGAGAATGGGAAGCTGGGGGCTGGAGGAGTGGGTCAGCAGTTAGACTACATACTGTTGTTCTTGAAAAGACCTGAGTTTGGTTTCCAGTACCCACATCAGGTGGCTCCCGTTACTTCCTGGAACCACAGTTCCAAGAGATCTTACCCTCTGTGGGCCTCCTCACTTGCATGTACAAGCCTACACACAATTTAAAGTAACACATTCTTTTTTTAAATATTAGGAAGCTGACTAACAAATAGGGCCATGCTGTGCTGCATTGGGAAGATGAGGGCTATAGTAGAAAAGGAAGATACCATGGCGTGTCACACAAGGCCACAGGTAAGCTGTAGATAGCCTCAGCCTGTGTGCACGCTGGGACAGGTCTGGGAAAACATGGCTTATGTATGGAAAAGACCTGGTTCTAGGGGATACGGTTCTGGCTGCGGAATAGAGATGACGTTTCTGTGGCAATACAGGTTGGTCCTAAACCTGTTCCTGTCACATGGTGGTGTCTTGACTGTTCACGGCAGCCACCTTGAGCCTCATACTTAACTGGGACATCAGTTTTAATCCTGTATACTCCCATCTCTGCACCCTGAGTCCTTAAGAGTAAATTCTGTTCCCAGGATCCTGCAGAGAGTAAGCCTGAGATTGCGTCTTGTCCCCGGAGCTGGTGATGTCACACTTGCTTTAGGACACTGGTAGATGCAGCTGTGCATTCTCCTTGTGCCTCCAGGGTTGCAAACTTAATCCTTTGACCATCCAAAGAACAAATGGCGAAGCCTTAAACAGCTGCCTGCGTGCTGTTTCAGTCAACACACAGTAAATGGGAATGGGTTGCAGATAACCAGAAAATAAATTAGAAACCTCCCTGCCAGAATATAAACACACGGATCGTACGACACCACCAAAAAGACACAGAAGCTGGGCTGAGGGGGGCCGGCAGAAAGCATGTCATGGCGTTGTCAAAACAGCACAAGGCAGAATGGACGAGTATATGAGAGTGGTACTTGCCCACATGAAGATAGTTTAGATTTTAGGATGTGGTGAGAAATGCCATCTCCACTCATAGCCAGGAATGTTAGTTGTTATCTCGGAAGGACCTCACAGAGTGGCACTGTGAACATACATTGGACCTGTCAGCCTTGCATGAACAATCAAAAGGACTGACCAGGACATAGAAATACCATTGGGTTGCATCCTCTAATATACTGAAAATTGAATGATAAACAGCTAAAACCAGAGATATTTACTAAAAATCCCAAATCCCAAAGAAGGGTTGGAGAGATGTGTGTGTCAGTCAAGAAAGCGCTTGCTTTGCAAGCATGCAGACCAAAGGTTAAGCCAGATAAAAGCCAAGGTGTGTGGGCACAGCTGTAACCCCAGTGCTGGGCAAGTGGAGACAGAAGGATCCCCAAGGGCTCATTAACCAGCCAGCCTAGGGAAATGTGTGAGCTCCAGGTCCCAGTGAGAGATCCTGCCGCAGAACACATGAAGGTGTACAGCGAGTGAGGAAGACACTGACATAACCTCTGACCTCCACAAGTATGCATACATTCACATACATACATACATACATACATACATACATACATACATACATACATACATACATAAGCAAATTCAGTTCTTTAGTGACTTAGAACTACCTCCAGCTCCAGGGAGTCTAGAACCCCCTTCTGGCCTCTGGTGGCACCCATAGACTCATATAAGAATCTAAGACAAGAAGAGAGGTTTATTTTGACTCGTGGTCTCCCAAGTTTTCAGGCCATGCTGCTTTGGGACCTGTTGAGGCAGAGCATCTGGGCAGGGAGGCAATGGTGAGCTACGTTGCTCTCTGCCTGCAAGCTGGGGAGCAGAGATTTGAGAAGAAGCTGCTGGCATGGTGCATCCTCAAGGACATACCCTTTATGACCTGACAGCCTTCAGGTCTTTAGAAATCATTTAGGGTTCAAGCTATAACATGTTAAGTTGTTAACTGAATGTACTATTGGGATTTCATGGGGGAACAACAGCGTATCTCTTTGAAAGAGATCTAGCCACTTCTGTCCCCAGGGAGTCCCCAGGCTGCTCCTCTACCAGGCCTTGGCCTCCCACCCTTGTTGGCTCCCGTTTTCTTTTTATAGCCTCTCCTCCCTGTTTATCCTGTCTCACGGTCCTGTGATGGATGCATAGACAAAATAGCCACCTCTCTTCGTGCCGTCCAAGGTGTGTCTGTGGGTTGCGCACCCGCGTAACGATACATGTTGAGAGCCTGAGAAAGCTCCTGTGGCCTTAGAGTGGGTTCAACCTGTTTTACTGGCCACACACGGATGTCACTAGCTGTGCCACTGGGGACTGAATTGAGCTTTTCTCATTCAAGTGGGAGACCAGGTTACACATTGATCCGGGATACTGCATCTTTAGGGCCTGTAGAACAGGCAAAGGAAGGGGTAGCCATGAGTCTCCCTTACCAGGGGTTGCTAGGTGAAATACAGGATGCCCAGTTACGTTCGGAATCTCAGACATGCTATACACCTATGTTAAAATGAGTCCTTGTGAACCAGACTCATTTGAGTGGCGAAGTCTGGTGGCCCTGCCCTTCCAGAGCCTTCAGGAACTCCTGTTCAGGAAAAAGTGCCACAAGACAGTGTGGGCTGAGTAGAGGCTCCTGCTCTACTGGAGGTAGTCACAGAGAGGCCCCCATTGCTTATACTGTGAGCCCAAGAAGTGCACCCTATGACATGAAACTGCTCTGTGTGGCTCAGAGCTCCCCTGACTCACTGGCTGCTCCCCCCCCTCAAATCCCACTGGCTCTCCCTGCACCTGTTGACTTCATCTGTGCTGTTTCATACTCATGACCTGAAGAGCCCCTTCCTTTACCCCATGCTTCTGCCAAGCCCGTCTTTGCCCGCCCCAACTCTTACTTGATCCATTGTGCCCTTCACAATACTTGGGGTGTACTCATTGCCTGTCTTGCTTGTGGCTTCTGAGTCCTCCCCTGACTCCTTTCTAGATCTGGACCTGGCACAGCTGACATAGCAGGATTGAATGAATGGGTGTGGATGGGCGTGGCTGCTCTTGTACACCTGGAGAGGATGTCTATGCAGTACCTCTTTGGCCACAGGGATGATCTGTTCTGGAACTAAGTTGGGTCATGAGAGTGTTAACCTTACTAGGGATAGAACCCAAGCCCTTGGGCATTATGGTAAGTGCCCGTGACCTACCACTAGGCTACACTGCCATAAGGAAGAGAGCAGCTGGAGAACAAAGTCAATACCCAAGACCAAAATACCAGGCATGCCATTTTGTAAGATCAGCTCTCAGTGCCATCAGTCACCTAGATCCAGCTGCACCTGCATGTGACCTCTGCCTTCAAATGGTTAAGCTTCTCAAGTCA